GAAGCCGGAAACCATATCTTACCAGTTGCATCTGTGCGATTTGTGGCTGCTCCTCCGAGTCACCCATCGACGCCGATGGGCGATGGTACGTGAAGTTGGTGGGTATGGTGCCGGTGGGCCAATGGGCGAAAAGCGTTCTGTGGGTATGGTGGCTGTACTTTCGGTGGGTATGGTGGTAGCGCAGAGAGAAGCCCCTTTCCACGCCGCCGTTAAAGTGAGAGAGAGAGACTGGAGAGAGATGAGTGAGAGACGTGAATTAGCTAGCCAATTAGGGTTGAATATTAATTTAGGTGTATATATTTTAAGTTTCATAATATTATTATTAGTATTTAATTAAATATAAAAAAATCTGGATCTATATATAAAATATCTGATTTTTGAAACTTAAACCTTAAAATCTGATTTTGGAATTTGAATCTCCAAAAGTAGGGAATTGGGTAATTTTCACTTCATATAAATCAATCATCTATAACAGTACATAATTAAAGTTATATATTTATCTGTAAACCTTTTTAATTATATTTTTCTCCATAAGTTCCATTGATCTTCTAATGAATAATATATTTTATGATCTAATCATAAAAGTGAGCGCTTTATTCAAGTCCCGAATCAACACTTATGTGAACAATGTATATACTTATCTACAAAGGAATATATTTCTTCTTGTATATTATATTCATGACTATTTATCTCATTGTATTTTCAACGTACCAAGAATTTGATATTATTAATTTGCATCATTACTCGGCACATTGAAAAATACAACTTAATAAATATGAGTCTATTAATTACTCAAAATTAAGAAGATCCATATATGATCATCACTGATCAAAATTGAATACTCAGATTTTAGTGGAGATTCATTATTAGTCATGTTCCTGTCCTATATAATTAAATTAATATAAGTGCTTTCATTCCAATAATTACATTATTAACAATCTAGATAAGATTATTTTATTCAAAGTGTAATGAACTGCACTAGTGATCATAATTAAAGATCCCTAATTTAATTTTAATCAAGGACAAATTTAGATTATTCTACTCTAAGATATTGAAATAATTTCACAAATATCATTAAATGTTATCAAATGTTTACAATTATTTTATTAATGGGCACATATCCCAAAAATACCTAGGGTCATGATGAATAAAAGCCATATAGCTAAGAGTGTGTTTGGTAGAAATTAAAATCGGATTAAAATTGAAAAACTAACCGTTATTGTTGACTTTTATTAGACAGGTGAGATCCAATAACGGATATATTTTCAATTTTAATTAGATTTTTAATGTTACCAAACAGACCCTAAATGTTGGATTTGGCCTTGCAATTATCTGAAAAAAGAACAATGACGAATTCAAATTTAAGTATTGTTACATCCTAAGTTTGTCAAATACAAATGTCAACACAACATGATAACTAAAAATTGTATATTCCACGATGGCAATCTGGATGTTCCAAAACGTAAACGATTAAAATATAGGGCTTTGCTAAGTGTACACCAGGCTTGACCCCCTCATAAGAAGGGGGCCACGATACCCCGGTGTACAGACTCCATCACAAAAGAGGGGCCCACGATACCGGGGTATTAACTATAGTGTACAAATAGCAAAATCCTGAAATATAAAGGAATGAATGCTATGACTAAGCTTTATTTAAACTACTTTATTCTCATAAGTGATAATGAAGTAGTGATCGCATAATCTAGTTATGAGGGAAAGCTTGGGCATCACTCTTTCACAGTATTAATGTCCAAACCACTACTGGACACCGCTAGACAAAGTGAATTTTGGGATAAATTTGCTAAATTATTTGGTTGAATTAATGGAGAAGAAATGTAGGGATCAAGATGTCACAACAACATATCAATTCATATATAGCTTGCCAAAAATGCTATCTATCATATTCTATAGCATTTTTCGAAATTCTATTGTGGGTGTTATTATTAAAAGTCGTACATATGTTATAATGTTTTTGAATGCTAATATAAAGTGCTATAAAAAAAAAAAATTTAAAAATAGCATTCTTTTATTGTTATTACTTTGATTTTAGTAGCATTCTTTAATCGTCATGGTTATATCTTCAATAACATTATTCTTCCATCACAATATTAATATTTATAGCATTTGTTAAATGTAATGCACTTTCAATAGCATTTTTTATTGTAATGCATACATATTAAATAGCATTACTAAAATGATTTTAGTATTTAAAAAATTCGTGAATTGTCAAATGTAAATATTCAATAGGTTTATATTTTGGACTACAAATATGAACAACAATAACCATGTCAATAATAAATTTCAAAATATACATCGATATTGTCTCATAGAACCACACAAGTTTAGCTTTTCAATAGATAAATATCCATATGTTTCGTCTTCACATCAACTACTAATAGTAATATATGCCTGAAAGGCAATGAACAAAATCAAATTAGAATCATATCGTTAATTGTCCCCTTCATATGTGCCACTTGAACCCTCAAATGGTTTTGTTCC